TTAACAAATCTTATATAACAGACGGATAGAATCCCTATTGCAGACAAATCAGACGCAGAATGAGCCATTACTGTTAGCCTTAGAATATAAAAATATTTGCTCAAACTAGGACGAAACAGCTGTCCAGTACTCCCAGGTTTTCCAGTGGTTCTCTAACTGATGTCAGCTCATGATGAAATCCTCCATGCAATTAAACAAAACCCCTACCAAACCAATACTTGAAAAACACTTGCTAGAACTTAGTAGGTATCGTCGACGTTATGGACAAAAAATCGAACGCAAACAGCAATTAAAAGAGAAATATTGGTTGAGGATGCCACTTATATCTTGAAAATGGTTTTCTGTAGACTTATTTTCATCTGAGGTATGTCAAGTTAGCATCCTACATAGATATATCAACAGAGAGCTTCAGTGGCTTCCATTTGCATCATGTGTAGAGGTAGGGAAGTTCCAGCGAGCTTGGCAGAATAGCTACGGAATTTTAGTGGTTTAGTCGTGACCCATACCAACTCTTCCATATGACAAAAATTTAGGTGGAAACTTAAACTTATCCACCACTGACTGTTAATAATCTTTTGGAGAATTGAAGTCAGCGGCTATGGAGGAAGTCACTGTTTATTCCAAATGTGACCATTCGTTCAATCCCAAAGCTACGATTTCGAAGAAGTCTTAATGTTAATTAAAAAACAGTACTGCATTCGGCATAAACAGATCCAGACTGTTTGATAATTTCACAGTGTGTTTTAGCCGCTTTCCTGTTAATGGTAAATACCTGATAAATCCACTTGAAATGTCAGGGGTTGGATTACTGATGTACATATGATTTATGGTTCATAATCAAAATGAAAAGTTGTATTCCTGGAACTTACATAATTACTATCATCTGTTCATTAAATTTCGCGGAAATGTTACGTATTTCAGAAATATTAATAAATTTGTCATCAGTTTACCGGGGTAGCGTGATAACTGAGAAAACTTATCCATGTTGTTTTAGTGAATCTTTAATTTACCTATGGCTTCTTTTCAAATGTTAGGCGCACTTTGGCTTTTTTATACCTACATTGTACCCAAATAATGAAATGGTGTAACTTGGGGAAGCAAATATGCTCTCCAGTAAGTATTGGCTTTTATATCTTATACTGTTATTCATATTTTTCCGTGTCATTAGTCTGTTTGTGGTTACTTCGCCGTTACCTCTCGTGTTTAACATGTAGATAAAAACATTCAGGTATGGCAGTGCGAGATTAATATTATGTCAGTCACATATAGTTGCTTAATTGTATTGTGTTTAATCTTTTTTCGTTGTATTCTGAGCGTGGTAGGCTGTGTATTGGTATTTTATTTCCTCCGGTTTTGTAGCTCCTAGAGCTTCGGACTTGAGTGTTTATAGTCTAATAACCATCCGTTGCATGTATTAGATGGTTATGATTCACTATTGCTGGTGCACACTACATATCTGCTATCTATTTTGTTTTATTTTTCATTATATTGTTGTTAAAATGACACGTAGTTCTTATAGTATAGAGAGTAAGTTAGTATATATTTGAGTTGCAATGTACGTAGTTGGGATTGTAAATACGTTCCTTGGTGTTATCTGCATCTACTGGGAAATCAACACTGGTAGTTGCGCATCGGAATTGGAACCTTGGTATCTTGATATATGCATATCCTGTGTGACAGGTATATTCATAGTTGTAGAAAGCATATCCTGTAAAAGCGAAGCAGCTGGTACAGTAATGGGTCACTTTTCGAGTCAGATCTTAGGAGGACAAGGGCTAGTTGCATATATATATAAGTGGTGTTCATCTGAATTTCACCGATATTTGAACAACACAGTTCTTGACTACTGTTATAGGCTTACGATATACTTCAGTAATCAGTCTGACTTTAGCAACAAAAACATTACTACAACGTACTGTTTATATTTCCATTTGTTCATATTCATGTAAACTGACTTGAAAAGTAAGTTTATTATCTGACTTTTCGAAATGTACTGCCTGAATATGTCATGGTTTTGAGGTAAATGGCATCTAACAGCACTCGTATTATCATTGCCTGCTCACTTTTACTGTATCTGCATCTTGTGTTGTCTGTTTTTGTTAGATTCTCATTCTTGGCCAAAACCTTAGGGTCTGTTGCTTCCAGGTGTCCTAAGTGTCCTATTTATGTGTGCTATTTGGAACGTGGCAACTCGAACTGCTGCACTTCGGTGCTAAGTTCTGTCTGACAGACAAACCGATATCTTGACACTTGTTCCCCTCACACTTACCGGTTATAACTTTCTCTGATTCACATGAGAAAGTCTACAACCACAGTCAATACTTCCTGAGGACTCCAGTCGGACGGCGTACACCTATCTTCATTGCTGTAATCATCAGTTGGGTTTCATAGATTGGTATCATTGTTTGTCATGACTACTAAATTTCCCAGCGTAATCTTGGTTCATTTGACACTACTTGCTAATCTCATTATTACTATTTCATTCCATGGAGGCACTTAGAAGCAGTTAATCTCTTAGTATCTTATGCTGGTAACGACCTTAAAGTAGGGCGGAGCGAACTGCTGCACTGCACGCACGTTTTTTCTTGGATAGCCGGACATCATGCCGGTACCAAATATGATGTAGATTGACAAATGACAAACGAGGTTCTTGTGTTTGTGCTTAGATTTGTCAGCAATCAGTCCATTGAAGTTAGTACAACTTTCAAAATAATGAAGTGATTACCATGTTCAACTATGCCCCTTTCATTAAATTAGAAATCTATGGGGATCTGTACTGCGACCCAGTCTTGCATTTGACAGGGTCAAGTAGCTTGTCAGTCACTTGGATTTGCTGAAAGTCTTCACAAGCCTACATTCTGTAAGCCTCTTCATCGTAAAGGACATTATCATCTGCGTACTCTAGATCAACGAGGCTTTTTGCTGCCATTAAGTTAATACATCCTTGAAGCATTTCAGTCAACCGGGATAACATTCATAAGTATATCTGTAATGCAATTGAACAAGTATAGTGGCACTAAGCATCCGTGATAGACAGCACCGCTTGTTGTCACTTCGGGTGATTTCTTTTGTTAAACTTCTACTCAACCACGAGTTCAATTAAATTATATTGATTAGCATAATATACTTTTCCAGAACTTCCTTCACAGCCATGCAATACCTATACCTCTTTTCTCTTCAGGTCAATAAATATGACAATTGTCAGGGAGTGATAAGCCTCCTATTTTTAGAACCTGTCGAAAGACAAAGACATGGTCAACACATTATCCTCTACCCCTTTAGCTTGTCTGGTTATCTATGGTTTGGTTTTGTCAAGCTATACAGATTCTTCGTAAAAGTACGAAATCAAGGGATACCATGATAAACTGATTTCCTTGTGATTATCACTGAAAAATTTGTTCCTTCCGTATAAATTAGGATTATAAAGTTCCATACTTCACAAAGGACATTTCACTTCCAATGGACTCTTACAACCCATCTTTGATGAATCTGAATAACTGATGAGTATTACCTGTGATAGCAGCTATCAATAGAACTATCTGTTAATGTACCACGTCATAGGAATCTGCATACAGAATTCCAACGAGTTGTTCCGAATCAATTCTCAATCTGTCACTTCGACAAATGTCTCAGAGACTGGGTGGCATTGGCATTGGGTTTTATCGGTGTCTGTGTCTCACTGGAATTTAGAATGGAGACCCCGTCATCCGACTGCATCGTCATTAACAGTCGTTTGTGGTGTTAAGACAATGGTATATTAGAATAAAAATTAACTGACCAGAAAAGTGTAGTTTTCTCGGCTCGGCATGCACCAATGGATTGCAGCTCTAATACAACTAAGGAACAGTTCTATCGTCGATTAAGTGAACTCAGGCGGGCTAGGCAGGTACTGCTTTGCTAATGGGGAGGTCGTTTAGGCTACCGTTACAAACTGGATGGTCGCAGGTCAGATAACCCATACCAACTGCTTCTTTGGAGTGTATAATTCATTTTAACCAGCAGCAACTTACAGCACAACTGTCGCCAGTGCTCAACCTGGCTTCCTCACCTTGCCATCTAAACGTAGGCTCTGGTTAAACACACTGACATAAGCTACAAAAGCGTGGGTATCTATAGGACTGCCAGTTATGGAGTAATCTAGTTTAATCATGTTTCAGTGTGTCCCAGACACACATAACCTAACAACCGAAAGTTGGCTAAATGAGTGGCAAGACACATTTAGAAGCCTGAGTAGTGCTCGAGTGCACTTAATATTAATCTTACAACTTCACCCACGTATGCCGAACATTATATATCTGACCAGATATAGCTCACAACTTATCACTTTTCTATTCTTAACTGTGACGATTTTGACTGTCTATTACGGACTCTGAATTGGGTTGAACTCATTCTTCTCCGGGTTGTGGTAATTAGAAAGAATTGTAACTATCACAAAGTGTTCATCATCGATTAGTATATTATATACCCCACTGAGACGCCTCCCAAATTTTTTATAAGCGCATAATCGTGGCTAACTTTTCAACACATGATCCAGAAACTATGCGTGCATACTTTCTTTTGTTGGCTCTGTATTTTAAGTTCGATTACTATGCAGGCATTATATGTGAAGCAACCGAGTTGGAATCCAAGGTTTTCAAGTAAGGGTGGTTAAATGTATGAGCATTTCATCATTCCTAAGATTGAGATCTTTTAACAATGTAGCTATTACTGAAATAATTTGAGCGCCGAAGAAGCTGTGGCTTACACAGCGAAACGTTCAGAAAAATCTTGTTTTGATTTTCTTAACACGCTGGGATTAATTTAAATAATTTATAATGAATGTAGCTATTACTTCGATTTAGATATAAGTTTTTGAAGTAAGTGGTTTCATATAGCCTGCTGCTAAGCTACAAATGTGATATTTTTTTCCATATCATATATTATAAAGTATTGTCGTCTGCTCCATAATTACTGTACTTAATACCTACTTTAGGTCGAAAAACCTTGTGTCCGATGAAATAATGAACGAAAATCCAGTTGTTATTTGTGCGCCCAGTTCGTGTACAACTGTTTCAAACGCAAATTGCGGTCCATCATTTGAGGCATCTATTTGCCATTCAGGTATTTCATCAGTTGCTGTTCCGATTGGATCTGGTTTCTCCTCAAGTGTTTTATGTTCTTCTGCTGTATCCAATGCTTCAAATGCTTCGTCCATCTTATCAGCTTCTTCCTTGGGATCTCTGCAAGGTTCTACTAACAACTTGAATTTTGGTTTATCCTCATCTAGTCAAAATAATCCAATAATTTTGCCAGCATCTTCATCGTCATTGCTAGTTAGTCCTTCAAATAATGCAACTCCTGGGATTCGGTCGGTTCCTGCAATTACTAGTACGTCTCTCGTTGTAAATAACCTGGAGAAGTCAAGCTTGAATATTCCTATGACATGTCAGAATGAGTTTCCAAATGCCAACATAACAAATTCTAGCTTCCCATATGGGTCTGTTTTACCTTTGGAATCATCCGCAGTTTGTCAAAACCCTAGTTTTGTGAATATTCCAAACCAGATAACCAGTAGTTCAATGGAAATTATTCATCCGACACAACAAAATCTGTCGTCTTCCATGTCGGTATCTACATCGATTTCATTACCTTTGCCACCTAGCATCTTAAACTGCAATCCGTCGCATTCAGAAAATATTATGAATTTTGATACAGATTCCAGTGCTCGTTCACTTCCAAATCCGACATTACCACCTTACTTTCCTTTGAATTTAATGCCTATTAGTGCTAATGGTGACTTCCCCACGTCACAAATAAATTTCCCGGGATTACCACCTGTTTTGCTTCAGGTTCTGCCACTACCTGGTGTTAAAATGGGGGAGAACTACACAATAAATGTTCCCACCCAGTTAATTTGGGACGGTATATCTAGCGCACTAGCTAGCGGTGGTACCGTCAATGGAGGACCTATCATCTTGTCTATTACACCTACACCTTTGCCATCCCATTCAGTTTCTTCTATGACAACGCCTGTTTCATCTTATACCACAGCAAACCAAATGTCTACAACTTCTGTAGCTTTATGTGGTTCATCCAGTGGTTTTATCAATCCCAGTCTACCTCAGGTTGGAATTCCTGCCTCAACAGTTATTCCGTATTCAAGTGTTTCTATCACAACTTCAACTGCCACGGTGACCACTACAGGAGTTTTGAATACTAAAGTACCTGGGTTGATAGTGAATCCTATGCTTTCAAATCCTGTAAGTAACGCCGGAGGACCTAAACGAATGAGAGCTATTGCACCCAAGCCGTTAAATGTGAGTGCCGTTGGAACCTTGGGAATTAGAGCTACATCAGCTTTAACTACCATGTCAAAAAGTGGATCAAAGCGTCATGGTTTGGTTACTCCAATTTCTGGTGTAAATGGAGTCATACCTACCTGTGCTTCTTTGCAAGTTAGCCATGCGAGTATTTCCAATTTAGGAATGGTAAATACAGTGGCAACATCTTCGAAGTTGTTGCATTCACAACCCAAAAAAGTTTCGTTACCTTTAGTTAGTGTGAGTTCCACACTTGTGCGGTCAGGTCGTGGCAGACGTCGTGGTGGTGTTGGACAGCAGCCTGTTTCTACTACCTTTGTTACGAGTGCACATGCATCTCCCATATGTATAACAAATTCTATCAATTCAGCGATGGGTATAAGTACTGACACCAGTAATGTATGTTCAATGCAACCTCCTCTGTCCTTACCGTTAAGTAGTCCATCTGCAGTGCCCTCGTTCTTCGGCACACAACCGCTTCTGGTACCATCAACAACTAATCCGCATATTCCTGGATCAGTTTTACCATCTGGACCCATTCAACCCACTTTACTTTTTGGAAATTCCTTACCTAATGCACCATCAGTTACAATGCCGAATGGTATGGCTCCTTTTCTGTTTCAACAAAGCCTCCCCATATCCAACAGTTGCTCACAGTTTTCAAATTCTGTGTTTAGTCCTGCTACATGTACTATTTCCATATCACCGTCTACATCATGCCCATTAGCGGTTGTTCGGTCTCTTCCATCTGTTACCTCTGCAACTATATTCGCCACCAATAGTGCCCCGACGATGGCATCTATCGATCCTACTACGGGGCTTGTGACTTATTATCCATCATCTTGCATTTCTATGAATAATCCGTATGCATCCGTTATGACATCTTCCACTGACTCACCATCAATTAGTATTCCGACTGTATGTTCTCAACCTAATCATACTCTGGGTCTCCAACCTTCCTCTCAGTCGGCACCGGTCATGTATCCTATTCAGACTCAACAGCTTCTTCCCAATCAACTTGTTCCGACTATTTTTCCCAATCTACCTACTGACGTAAGCAACATGAGTAATTTTGCTGAACATACAGCGTTTCTACAATCTTTCACTCCGGGTTTAATAGATACTTCTTGCATATCTTCTAACGAACAAATGTCTTCAGAATCTACGATTATTCAGAGTCAAATGACCTGTCAAAATGCTTTCTTTACATCAAACGGCAATTACAGCAGTAATAATCCCAGTGGAAATATATCGATTTTCTCGTCACTACCTGTATCAACAATGAGTGGACTACCTAGTGTAGACGTTACTACAAGCACATGTGAAACAAATGGACCGGTAGAAGATGAGACTTGTTTAGCCAAAGATGATCTTATCAGTCTTGCATGGCATCTTACGCAAATGGAAGATGGTTTTGCGACAAATGATAAGCAGAATGCAGATGCTTTAATTGGACAAACAGAAGATGAAAATAACGTAATGTTCGAGGATTTTCTTCAAGCTTACTCGCAGAATACCACAGGCTTTAACTTCAGCTCAGATTTGAACTGCCAAACACAAGGCTTAGATCCATCTTCTGGTGACCCTAATTCAAGTACTATGGACAAAGATGTGATTGTTTTAGATAGTGAACCTGAATATACTACTAGTTACGAAAACACGGATGGTGATACCCAGTTAACATGCACGAATGAAGAAAGCACTGGTAATGCTGATATTGACGCCCTATTGGCAGCAGCTGCTATGGTTGGTGCTGCAAGTGGAGTTGGAGATGCTCAGTCAGCTGTTGCCGTCCCATTACCATCTTCTTCGTTAGCTTCAGTAAGTCACCAAACTGCGTTAGATTCTGATTGTAACTCCTCTCCCCATGCTACCCATAAAAATGATGACGTTGGTGATTGTGTACACTTAACTTTCGCTAGTCCTCTGATACCAGCCCACTCTTCTAGTTGCAAATTCTCACCTCTCCTTGTACCTAATAATGCTGAAGACTCAGTTGATAACTTGAAGGAACCAAAGCCGGATGGATTAATTCCAAGTGACTTATTTGATGACTTTTCAAAAACAGAAGTAAATGAGCAGTTTCCAAATGAAGTAGATGGTTCAGTACATGAATTTGACGATGGTTATGAACCCACTAGTTTGGCTGCAGTTCTCGGTTGTAATGCTCAAGATGCTGCAGACTTGGAATCAGTTTTAGGCCAGGAAGCTCCGGACCTGTCAGAAGGCGGAGGTGTTTCAGATTCTTTTCTACATTCACTCGTGGGTCCTTCTCCAACGGTGGACGATTTAAATGATGATGAAAGAGGTGGTGCAGTTGATATCTTCGATAATGATTTTCATTCTCCTCATGAATCAAAACCTGATACAGAAAACGATTTGAATTTTCATTCAGTGCATGATTTTCCTACTGATATCGATTGCGAAATGGTTAGTGATGTAACTGACACCTTGCCTGTTTCAAAACAAGTTCGATCATTGCTTCGTGATACCAATACCATCTCAGTGTCTTCGCGCTTTGGATCACCTTCAGGCGGTAGCAAAAGCTTTAACCATTTCTTCGAGGCCACTTCACGACGTCTTAATAGATCGTGTAGATACACATCTGATATTGATGATGATTTTATTGGTGTCGACTTTTCCGATGCAGTAAATGGATGTACAACAGCGGAACAGTTTGATGAGGCTTTGATGTTATTAGGACCTCAGCCTAATTCACCTATTAACCAGTCTGAAATGCAAAGCGAAAATACAATTCCTGTCTCAGTAACTGATTTTGTTTCTCACATTGAAGACAAGATGAAAAACAATGAGAAAGCTGTTAAAGGTGGTTTATTAAGCATTGATATCACTTGTTCGGATGTTAAAGATGTTATGGAAGACAGTATTATGACAATTCAATCTAACTCCACACCTCCACGATGCACCGTAGTACAATCTCTGGAAATCCCTATCTCAAATGAAGAATCTAATTCACAGAGAAATTATGCTCCCTCTCCAATTAGTGAAATAGAAGAGTGTATGACAGAAAACAATTTGGATCAACGGCTGAAGGACGAAAATAAAGCCAGTTCAATTAATTCTCCGGATAAAAATGATTCAGTTTTTGTGGTAGCAATTCAAGACAGTGATTGCTCACTAGAAGTGAAGTCACAGCAAATGGAAGCTTGTGATGATGCCACAAATATCAGTGACTTCAATCACGCAGATCAAAATTGTTCGTCACATAATGAAGCTGAGCTGCCGAAGTCCCTCCCGCCAATAACTGATGAAAGCCAAAGTCAACTAACTGATTCGAATTCGAATACATCAACTACTTCTGACATACAGAATTCTGCTGCAATGCAAAACAATGTTGTTGACTGCCGTTATTATGAGTTTAAGAATGATCCAGTGTATAATATTCCAAAGCGTCCACAGTCAGTTAGTCCGAAAATTCTGTTTGATGTCATCCCACATAGTGTTTCCGAACCATGCTTTGATCCACCACCACGACCTAGAAGTCTTCCCAATTTATCTTCTGTGAATATAGAAGCGGAACAGCGTGACTATGGCCTTGAGAATACATTTAAAACATATATTTCGGACATATCGCCATTTTGCAATACTCCTCCTTTAGTAGCATGTTCTGCTGAACAATGCAAATCAAGTACTAAAAGTTCTCCGAGATCTGATCAGCATCTGTCGATCAATACAGGAGACATTGTATCAAATATTTCCATTCTTGGAGTTCTCGCTTCATCTTCTGCTCTAGTGGAAGCAGTTGCAGATTTAGGAGATGATTCAGACATTTCACCCGTCAAATCAAGTATTGAAGGATTAGCCTCCCTTGATCGCATGTTAAAAAGCTGTCAGCGTCGCAGTCAGCAGACTTTGAAATCTACGGGGAATGCTTCTAGTAGCTCTGAAAGCGTTATGATTTCATCTTCACAAACATCCAGCCTATCTCAAACCTCAGCAATACAAACGGTAGCTGCATCTGATACTGAACATTCAAAAAATATTGATATATGCAGCTCTACATTTATAGGCTGGCAAAATACAGATGTATCTAGTCAATGTGAAGTAGATTCTGATGTTATTGTTCATGAAAGTACTTCTCTACCTGTTAGTAATGTTAATTCTGTAGCTGAAAGTTGCAGTCCTGAGAAAGAACAGATCAAAGTTACAAATACAGCACGCTACAAACGTGGTCGCCGGAAACGCACTGGGCACAGAAAACCGAATTTGTCTTATTTGAAGAAAGGTTCAGCTAAAACTAATTCTAAATTCCATTCGAATGTATCTGAAGTAAATTCCTCCGAGAATACTACTGGAGATACAAATGAAGCAAATCAATCAGGCGACCACTCAGTCAACCCTTCTGATGATGTTTCCATCAATAACCTTCTGGAACTAGCTGCAAGACGCCCCCACTCTTTTGGGTGAGTTTAACATATTTCAGTGTTTCTATTCTTTTATTATTCAGGTGAAAGAATTACAAATATCTAATTGCTTCTTTAATTTTTCAAGACTTCCACATTTAGAATTCCTCCAGCTTTAAAACTTACCTTAGTAAAATTTATTTATTCAAAAGATATTATTGTAAATGATACTGTGTAGGGGGGAAAACTAGTAAGTGATTAAGTGAAAACCGATACGTTGCTCAATGTATTCTTGGTAGCCATGCTATCCATGCGGATAAGTGCATAAGGGTACTGTGTTTCAATGTTTCATCCAGTGTAAATCACCTCATCTTTTTAAAGCTTGTTCAATAGATTGTGGAAATACTTCTACCTGCTGTATTTGTGAGCCACACTAATAGACATCATCCTATATAACATGAGTACAATAGTGTTTCGTTTGAATTATATATATATATATATATATTCTATTCTATTTAATGTAAGTGCAATTTTTTTAAAATATTTTCCTCAGGTTATCTTCCGTAGACGGCAATTTCTCAAGTGTTCCCAATCCTCCTATTCCTCCACAATTTGAAAGTCATTTGCCTCCTCTGGTTTTGGCTGCTGGGACATCTTTATTTCCAGAATCCCAGTTATTAACAGAAGTTTATTCACCTGTTGAAGACGTTTGTTCTGTTCCACAGTCTGTTGCTAACAGTCTTAAAGTGGAACCGGATGAAGCAGATGTATCTACAAGAAATAATGATGAAAAGGATCAAGCTCCATATTTGACTCCACAGCGTGCTCACCATATTCGTAAACATAGAAAACGCAGAAAACATATTTCGGATATGAAACTTCACGGTAGATTCCATACGGAGTCTCATTCGACAACGAAAAAGTCATATCACCCTCATTTTGATTTTGATAAAGCGAATTTTGTTGGCGTTAATCCTGGCCTTTTGAAGGGATTGGAATCACTGGGTGAAGCACCTTTTGAACGCTTTTTACACGATACAAGACTACAAACCTTTGCTACATTAAAGCCTAAAACTGGTGAAGCTGAACTTAGTTCGAAATCCAACCATAGTTCTTGGTCTGAGAAAAATGTTATGCTGTTCGGTGGACAGTACAGTGGACAGTCTGCTTCTGGCGATGGTTTGTCATTATCGACGCAAAATATGGGCACTGAGAATCATTTAAATGAGACACAGTCTGATATTTTAGAAAATTCAATTTTGTCATCAGGGAGTGATATTAAATCTCCTTCTAGTCCAGCATTCTATAACCATAATTTTGATAAACCAGTCCCAACTACTTGTGAATCCAGCAAATATTCTGTATTTTCTCAGCATCCAGTTTATTCAACACCTGTATCACACACTTTTAATACTCTTCCGACACTTACTTCATCGTGTTGTATACCCATTTCTACTAGTCCTTTTCAAAGTCATACTTTCTCATTTCCAGTCGCAGCTACAAACACTCAATCAGTTTGTGAAAGTAGTTCCTCAACCAGCCACTCACTTGAAAAAGTGTTCCCAGTTATCTCACCGTTACCAATTAACAGGAATGTAGGCATCGCAGGTAGCTTCGCTGGTGCTGCAGCCTTCCGAGCAACTAGCTTCAGTGCTTTAGCAGCTAAAGTTGAGAAGACAACCGGGACAGATCGACTAAGCAATCCTCCAGAAACACTATGGAAAAATGTTACCTTTGCAGATTTGGCTAAGGTTGCCTCTTCAAATTTGAAAAACAACGACGCTCCACAGAATTCATGCACTTCTACATGTTCATCGTGGTTTATCGATAAATCTATGCAAATTGATGCCTCTGCTTTGCTTCCCAAACCGTTATTTCAACCCAGTTGCTCAATCCTTACTCCACACAAGAATGAAAACAGTCCTGTTTCACTTCCTGTCTGCTCACCGTCAAGCCATTCGGATAATCAGCTTTCTGTTACGGACGAGATTCAAACTCCAGTATCTCTTACTAGATTAACTTCTTCCAAAGAGAATAAAAGACGTTTGAAACGCACCTCTACAATGCCTAAAAAGATACTTAAACGCAAACGGTCTGCAAATAAGAGTCAGAGTCATCCATCTAGCACCATCGAAAAGCCTACCTTATCTACTCATGATTCTGATTTTCATGCAGAAGAAAGACTTGCTGAGTCTTTTATAAATGACAGCCCTGCAATTCTTTCAGTCAAGACTTTGAACGATGAACCTCAAGAATCCAGTTCTAATCCAGAAAAGGTCACTGCTGAGGATTGTGATCCATCTGTGAGTAATCCGCATAACCGTGTTTGTCCAGATGATGAAATTGAGCCTATGGAAGAAGAGAATAATGTAGTAGAAAGCATTGTTGTTCCTACAGTCATACAAGACGATCAGTCAATTAGTTTAGGTTTAGATGTTGTAGATAAGGATATTTCTAATCTGGCTGAAACAGAAGACGTTAACACTCAACCAACCACTGCTTCTACACAACCTTCGCCTGTAATCACCATTAACTGCGAACAGTCACTGACCGTGCCAATGGATTTTGATAAGGTTACCTCCGAGGTTATCTCTACTTTTCAGGATGAGACAAGCACTAAAGATGATCATGCAACTGTTCATACTGAAAACACGACTGATAATATAAGCTCGCCACCACCCGATATTTTGGCGTCTTGCAATCAGAATGTCAGTCATGAAAACGGTGATTCATCTTCAATTATTTTACCTGAAAATGACGAAATACGTCAACATCCTCCAATCAAACTTCGCTTAAACCTAAAGTTAGCTCAACTAAGAGCCAAGTCACCAAAAAGAAAAAAGAGAAAAAAACTACGTTTTAATAATCCAGTTATCGAAAATAAGTGTGATCCTGTAGTAGAAATGCAAAGCGACCCTCCCAAGTGTTCATTAAGTATTCGTCTTGTAAATCGAATTCCTCTAGTCAAAGAAATCTCTAAGCCTATTTCGAATGATTCAGACAAGAAAAGAAAGAAAAAGCTCAAGAAAATAAATACTAGATCTTTGAGTCCCAAGAGACCTAACGTTACAACGGACAACACGCTACAATGTGAAAATGTTGTTCAGTCATCGTATCTCGAAAATGCGTCGAACACTTTAAATCATATTACTGATAAGCCCACTAGTCAAGCTAATTCAACATCTGACGTTTGCCCAAAGGTTACCGTGAAAGATGGTTTCACGAATCCCACATCAACTAAAAAGATTTTCTCGACTGCAAGGCAAGAGCGTCGAAGTAATTATGCTCAGTTGGTAAGTTAACTGCTTTATTTTTAGTGTTGTCTTGGTATCATTTTGGCCTTGGTTTTATAATGATTGGGTTAGTTTAGCTCTGTAGAGTGGCGTATAATCATATTTATAACTCATATTACTTGACTTCTTCACTGCATTCATCACAAACAGAACTGATAATCTAGACCTAATTTGTATTTGAATTGTGTGCTTTAACAGAGGAGAATCTTGTACTTATTGCTCCATGGGAAAAACGATAAGACCAGAATTTGCAACCAATTAAACGCTTCACATGACCAATAAATTACAAGTTCAAAATATCTTCTGACTGGATAGTATGTACCAATAGAAATATGATGGCTTGATCTTTAATGTAAGAGAGGGTCAAATTTGTCTAGTATACGGATCTCGTCGGGAACACTCTCCTGTCTTAAAAGAAAAGAAGCTAAAGCCAGATAGTAATGGAATATGTGAACTTGTTTTAAAATGGAATCAATGCCACTGAGGGACTATCATTTTATATATCCAGTGTTTGTATTCAGCCATAATGTTTGTTAGTAAAATATATACTCATTCTTATCGGTTGCATTTCATGTAGCCTGAATCCTAGGTGCCTTTGCAGATTTTAGTTTGATGTGTCTGCTTTAATGATTTACTTTCTTCGAGATATCGTTCTATAATAGGTCATTTGTTTAACACAGCATACAGTAATATAGCATTATTTATTTACTGGCGACTTTTTGAAGAGAATTTATTGCTCATAATCATAACAAGTGACTGACATAACTTTCCGATTTTGTTTTTTTATTTCCGTTACTTCTTATCCTTTGATTTTACTAGTAATAATAGTTTCCATATTCCCGGTGTTGGCATTGCTTCATTCCTTTGATGTTAGGTGTAGGTTGAGTAAACAAAAACGCAGTGATCAACATATCTCCTGCCACTTGAAGATATTGTCTTTTACAGCTGTTTTATGATTGTGTATCAGTGCGCGACCACATTGCAACCGCAGAGTTTTTCTCTAAATTGGTGCGCCAATCAACACTTAAGTGATCCGGATTCACCAGTGTAATTCTTCTGTTATAGAATTATATTTTAACAATGCGTCAATCATATTCTAATATCAGATTATCGTAGTTAACTTAGGCAGTCCCTGTTATCCACTTGCACCTTTTTTGTTTATTAACGTCAGCTATTTTTTCTCACCAATTTATAGACACGACCTTGGCGTGCCAGTCTTTCAACTTCACCACGGAAGCGCAGTACGATGGGATTTCGATCAACGTCATCTCGTCGAAATGCCGCTGGTTTAACGCGATCTTCCGGTCATCTGTCTAGTTCCCACCGTAGTACAACGGTGGTTGGTCAGAAGGAACCAAAAGTTATGCCTAAACAATCGATGATCACAGGGCAAAACCTTTCAAGTAATGATGTTTCTGAAAATTCCTATACGGTTACGAACTCTACAAGTAGGAGTAAAGAAGCTACTGAAACGGAGCGTTCAGAGTGTCCATCACTACGTTTGATCATTCGTTTAGGCAAGTCTTCAAATTTATCGAGAGATGAACTAGCTAATCAGTCTGCGATTTCCCCACTAACTATTCAAGTGCCGTCTGATATGTCTTCTGCTTCTTCTGAAGCGTCTAGTGACAAAATATGTCAACAAGGTAATGTAAATATTCCAGTGTTAGAAAGACAGTCTAATGAAGAGTATATTGGTTCTGCTAGAGATATACCTGAATTTTGTGTCGCTAGTGAGGCAGAAACTTTTATGGATCCTAATCAGTTTCAAATCCACAGGATTTTAAATCGAGCTCTTCCAATGAATTCTGGACTCCTTGGTTTGTACGTTCCATCTCCAGGTGGAGATGATGACGGAGGTAACTGCGGAGTGGTTGATGGGGTGCTGGATTCTGAACATCGGATGCGGTTAACCGACCAGCCATTTAGTTTTTCTCAAGTTTGTCACGAAAATCATGCGAGTTCAGTCGCTCCTCGAATTGGTTGTACTGCGGGTTTGTCAAGTGAAGGAGAAACAAAATCACCAGAACAGTCTAATTGTGATGGAAAAAGTGTCGTACCCCCTAGATATCGATATGGAAAAAGTATAAAGAACCTGACGAATGAAAGCAACGCGGAACAATCGTCAAATGACCTTATTCCATATTCGGATTGTTGTAAAAGAAACATTGTAAGCGATTGCATCGATGATCCAAATTTCCCATTTCACCAACCGACAACCAGTATTTATAGCACACATCAAACAGATATGTCAGAACAGGATATAAATTATGTTTCTAATTCTAAACGCATTCATGACCATGTCAACTTAAACCACACTTCTCCAGACCCATCGGATGATGTAAATGCTACACAAACCGCGCGGTATATGTCTGAAAATAGACCGGGTCTTTCTCAAAAAGAAGTCCCTTGGTGTGAAACATTCAATCCCAAGTAAGTTTTTTGATGTCTCTTGTAGTTTTTCTTGTCTTCCGGGTTATTAGTACCTTCACCCGAAATTGCTAAGCGGGTCGGTCGGGTGTAAAATCAGTTAGTCGCTAATGGTTTCATCACAGGTCGGCAGAGTCGAACTGTACTTTAGTGCACTGTTTTAATGGAAGTGTCTTTGCCAAAACATTTATGTTTTATCTTATAACTACAAAAAAGTTCTAAATTAAGATAAAGCAGCTTTTTAGTGTTCTTCGATTTTGAATAGCTTCCAATTGGGTATCAATCTACAATGCAAACTGCTCCATGACCTATTTCTAGTCTTCATACTTACGTCTTCAGGATCAAATTTCCGAATTACAGTTATATGAAATAAAGGTAACCACCAGCCTCCATCATAAATGCTGACTTTGGAATGCGTAAGCGCTTCTACTTATCGCATCACTATCAGCAGTAGTTAATTTTGTACTGATGAAATCTCAGCACAAGTGAAAATGACTTTTTGGCCCTTGTTGTGGGTGATGTATCTGATATCCACACGTCAGTTAAAGTGTGCGTTGTGTTGTTCACTTTGTTCTACTTTAGGGTACAAGACTACCTAGAAGCAATTTTGAAATGATGTTATAGGAAGTACTGATCAATTACGGTGGCTCAGAGTGTGGTAGATATAAAGAGCCATTGCCATCATCGTTAGGATTAATTAATCAAAGATTAAGTTGTAGTCAAACGGAAATATGACGCTACTGTCTGAAGTTAGTGACTGACTATTTGAGCCACATGGTGTAGGTTATCTGACTGAAGCCCTTGGAATGTTGACACCCAATATTTAGAGATCTCCGGTAATATGGCTTTAAGTAATTCACAATTTTGCAGGTACGTTTATTGTTGATGTTCTAATTTTGGAACATTTTCACTGACCTTCATTTTGTTATTGTCTTGCCTTGGAATAATATATTTTAGGTCGTTTGTAGGGGTATATAAAACATGTGGTGTTATGTATGAACATATTTACAATTTCATGACTGGTTAGTTCCTTTATTTAGGTACTTTACATATTTTATATTATATATTAATAATTTGCATACCTAGCCATTTAAGTCGTGTAAATTAAGAAATCTCTTATGTCAGTAATGTGTTACGCATGACACTGTGAGTTAGCTAACTTTTGAATGATCATAATGTATCGTCTTTGTATTAGTTAATTAGTACCCGAAGTATTAACAAGTAACTCAAATGGGATTATATTTTTCCTTTTTACTTGAAATCTTGTCAGAAGATAAGATTTTATTAATTGAATTCACTATGTAGTTGAATATATAAAGGCTATTTTCTATTATCAAATAAACTTTTCAATATTCATTTTTCCTTTAGCTTGAATCATGTTGAAGAAGAACATCATATTCCTTGGACTATTCACAGTCTGTCAAACAACACAGAAATAGAATTGAACAATTCATCCCTTATTTCAAATAACATTACTCCCCATAATGACGAGACTATTATTGCAGATTGTAAATCTCAACCTAAGTTTCCTAATGATGAAGCTGGTATTTATCCAGATATGCCTTATTCACAACAAGTTCTTTGCTGTTCTGCACAGACTCGGATTTTTGATGCATACAATAGTGGGGTCTATGCAAATGGATCTTCAGGTTCCGGTTTTGGTGGGTCATGCAGTAACACTGGAAGTGGTAATTCTATCTCAGCCCCAAGTACTGGCAGTCCAGCACCACTGAGTTTAGGTCCAGGTCCCGGGAGCCAACCTGAATATTCTAGTGGTTGCACTGGAAGTATAAACGAGTCTTTCTGTTGTCCTTTATCTCCTCCACCAGTCAATAGGGATTTCCACTGCAGTCCAGTTTCTGGAAGAGTAGATATGTCAGCACCTGCTTATGCAGAAACGCAACCAACATCTCAAAATCCTTATTCTCAATTTCATGAAAATCGCCTGTCCAACCATGTAAGTTCTAACGAATATATAATTTTTCTGGGTTCAATGGCATCTTTCAGTTAGTTTGCCGTAAATATTTGACTTGAAAATCATGAGTAGTTGTGTATCTTATCGAAAGAAATCTGAGTGACCACACGTTTTTGTTTACTAGGTGTTTTACAAATTTTTCCTATTTCAGCTGCACTGTTAATTTTATGTAGTTTATTAGCTTTAAGGTTTCATGCTGAACTTCAGTTTGGTTTATTTATTTATCGAGTGGTGGTCAATTAATTATGGGTTTTTATTACTGTCCTCCTACTGATCGTACATGTCTTGGTCATGCAGTTTTAACATCATCTAGGTTGGGAGACAAGATTACGTCAAATAAAATTTATTTCTATGGTTGAAACCATAAATACGTTTGTTCGTAGATCTTGCTAATGTAGTCGAGTCGCTTGACGCTTGGTAATCAGTGTAGCTATCTTCTTCTGATTGTGTTAATTTGAAGCTTATTGATATGAAACTGGTCATTGTGATGTTCATTTGTAGGTTTTGTTTATGCCTGTATTGATTAAAAGTCTAAGTGATGAAAAAGGGATCTGTCGAGTTATTATCATTCGGCATTGAACTTAAACCACAAAATTCTCACGTGTTAACTTCTTGGGTAGCATTAATTAATCACTGGTGACGTGATATGAGTATTAAGAACGATATCTAGTTACTAGTACAATTTCAGTGCTTGACATTCTACTCTACGTCAAATTGATTGGTATTTGTGATTTCTATATCCTGTTATCATGGAGTAAAATTTTACAGTTAAGTTGTAGTATGATGCACTTAATTGACGTTATGTGCTTTATATCCTTCTGCAAACTTAAGCTAATTGGCGTGTCTTCGTGTTTAGAGAACTATGTCATTCAGTGTGTTAGTCATGACCGTTACCATCAATGTACTTTGATGACGATTGATCCTGTGAAGCAGAATCCTGAGGAATAACCGGTGTTATTTTCTCTGACAGTTTGTGCTTATCAAATTCTCTTTTCTTGAAAATGGGATGTCTCCGTGTTGAATACATGGCTGTGTAATGATTCCCGATAAGTTTGGTACCTAAATCCTGAGTTCTTTTGTATAATATCACTCAACGGACTTATTTGTTCAACATTACGTTACCTAATTTCGTAGCTTGTTATTACATTGCAAATTTAGCCTATAGATATTTCGGTCAGTGCTACAAATATGGCATTAGTTATTTCGTTGTGAGCAATCGGCCAATCTCATGCAAAGCTTAATCGTTTTCGCTCTCTTCTTCACACAGGGGTAAACTTTTGTTGTTTCATTACAAAGATAATCTACTATTACTAGACGGTGATCGTAATTATTATTTGAAAGAAAGAAGAACTAATGGGAATTGTTGCTAGTAGCCTCATAGGATAATAATCAGGGTAGGGTACTGGAAAAGATTGACTAGTTAACCTTTGCCATACTACAATACTCAATCATTTGACATTTTCAGCCATTTGAACATTCATGTCCCGTAGTACAAACAGATTAATTAGCTGTAAATAGTTAGTTTTTATGAATGTGAACTACTCTGATATGACTGTTTAAACAATAATGCTTATTCTTTGTCTGCATCATTTACTTGATTAATATCGTCAATATATTTTATGTTTTATTTGTCACTAGTTACTTCTTGTTTCGCGTGGTTTTAAAAACACAACTTCTACTGGTTATTCTTATTATTTATTTAATTTAATTTGTTTTTAAAGGCTGTCAGCTTGCCATGGACTTCAGAATTATCATATCAACGTCTAGTGATTGCCGATGAAAATCGTCTACGTGGGTTTTCTAGAAAGCTTTGAATAACAAATATATATATATATATCCCTTTATATATGGATACCATTTTTATTGATTAGGATTGTACATACTTCGTATCCTTTTCTTTTATTATTTAACATAGATATTATGAATGTAGACTAATATTATGACTCTGGTGAGAACTATTGTGTTTACGATCTCATGTCTATGATTGTTCATTTTTTCTCTCTCCTTCAAATGCTTATACAACAATATACATACATACAGTAATCCTTATTTGTGATATATTGTGTTATTCCCAACGATTTTTTCCCTGATTTGCGTGAGTTTTCTAATTTTATTTCTTTTCAATTTTTCTATTATCATGCTCATCATGGTTATTATTATTATTATCATCACTATATTATTGTAAGTGGACAATTGTGGTCCGTTTTTCTTTAATGCATACTTACACACACACACACGCACACACAACACAATGATAGTGTTGTGTGGTCTTAAGATCTCTCTCTCTCTATTTTTTTTGTAAATTCATAAATGCTCTTTTGCACTTCTACCATTTCATCATCATCATTTATCTATCATCTATGTATGATGAAATTCCACAAAAGATGAACGCAGTTTTGTCGATTTGTTCCTCTACCCCCCCCCCTCCAACCCACTTACCCACCATCATCACTTTTGTGATCATTATTTAATTGTGATGATGAATAAGGTGGAAAACAACAACAAATAAACAAACAAATAAGGCACAGGGATTCATTCTTATTTATTAATCCAAGTGAATTAGATTGCATTTTCGATGAGTGTTGTGTTTATTTTTTAAAATTCTATCAAACCCTGATAACAAATATGTATAAATTGAAATTTCAATTATTATTATTATTCCTTTTCCCCGTATTTGTGTTTTTATTTTTTTCCCCGCTTGATGACAATGGAGACTACTAATATTATTGTGATATAAATAAGTCCTTTTTCTAGCATATGTATAGATTAAATTATTCTAATATTCTTCTATCTTGAAATGTACTCTTATATAAATAAAAACAATTTTAATACCCACCTCTCTTGTACACACACACACATGTCCGTTAGTATGTATAAGAAATATAAGAAATAACTTAATCGTCTGAATAAAGCTGACCAAACATTTCTATACAAACAAAGAGATGTTGCAGTAATTTGTTTCCGTCTATTAAGTATTTTGTCTTTTTTTCTGAAAATAAATTTTACTCTCATATTCTCACACACACGCATACTGTGTGTGTGTTGTCTTTTGAACGTAATAGGTGCTTAAATTTTTTTTCCAATCATTTTCACTCTTATTCGGCAACAGAACTCTATAAAGATTGATTGATGTGTTGATGATAGTGATAGTAGGATTCATTTTTTCAAAAAAATTATTTTTGCTCACCAACTCGATTATTGCTTGTTGTGTGTGTTTGGTGTAGTGTGAGATAAGCGAAAGATTATTGTGGTGATAATGACGGTGATGACTTTCTCGTTCTGCTTGTTGTTGTGCTAATTTCGATATCTCATTTACAGTATCTATATATATATATGTATATTGTATTCAACATTGTATGAATTCGTGACTTCTGAATAACGAATGGATATATATATATATATATATATATACATATATACATATATACATATATTAGACATGATAGTCTATTCACACATGTATGTATGTATGTATGCTGTTGTATTCATCGGCTTTCCCAAGTATCACTGAAATTCTTCATGTATAGTGTGTGTATTGTGCATAGACGTGTGTGAATTAATCACTTTGTTATTTTGTGTGTGTGTGTGCGTGCGTGGGTATGGACCAACAGTACTGCTACCCAGCACACGATAACAAATTCCCTTTAAATAATAATAATATTTTCTGTTATTGGATGGGGATACCACTTGAAACTGTATACTACATTTTTTTTTCGATTTGCCTTTGCCTTCCTTCTGTAACGGATGACAATGATTTCTTTCCTTTGTACAGTTAAATTCTTTGTTTAATTTCTGTTTTTTTCTCCCTTGCCTTAAAATGATAATAATATATTATTATTATTTTCTCTGCTTCTTTTTTCTCTTATCCGGAGAATGTTTTAATTTCATGACGTGACAAATACACTGATATTGAGTATGATATAGCATTCATAAATGCCAATTTGTCAATGAAGTTTCCACATTCTCTTAGACAAAATGGTTTCATCTTCCTAAGCTAGGTTGGACCGGGTAAAAACCACTGATGTGCTGAACGACGAACTAGCGAAATTACCGTCTGGGATTCTGATCACACTTCACTCTGACTAGCAACCATTACTAGTTGATATGAGTAGTACACAGTTGTTCATCTCAACCAATCACAGCAGTAGACAGTTTTGTACATTCGTTTCAGATTTACTTGCGTCTCAATGGGATCATAGTTTTGATTAGTGTTGTACTTTTGATTTATTTCGTTGTTTAGTTTCTGTTAGGTCAGTCTTACTCCTTCTCAGACAACATCCATCGATGTGGCAATTATCGAAATATAGATAGTATAATCTAAAGTTAATTTTAGGGCCATTTTTGATAGTGAACTGTGAGAAAACGTAATCGGGATTTGCACATCCAGTTTGCCTTTGGAAAGTATTTGCAGAACTAAATGCGAACAGTAGTTCATCTCTGTAGACAATAATATTCGTGTAATCTAGATTGTGCATAAATTTTAATTGATGGCTCGAAATACAGATTTGATAGTGAAAATTGTGTACGAAAGAAATAAATATCATGGAGATGTGACTAAGCTTGCTTAAGCACTTGGTTTTCGACCCTAGGTCGTGGGCTCGAGTCCCTTCGCATCGACTTTAGCATTGAAACTGGGCAGTACTACTCGCCCTCACACTATATATGTGGCACTTATCATGATACATGAGAAGTCTGTTCCGAGTAGTTGAGCTTAAATGTTAAACATATACGAAAATGAGCACTCAAGAAGCACCTCCTTTCTTCTCGGATTAGGTGTTTTTGCAGCAAGCAGACATTTTACATTGATACAGGTCAGATATCCTCTTCTGTTACATTCAAAAGTATCCTTTTAAGCATCATTTTTAATGCTAGTTTAATACAGTTTTCTAATGTTAACATAACAAGTGTAACCGGTGTTATGTAAGCAAAGTATTATATTGCTAATTGAGTTGGTCATGAAGCATACTACTCAATTTAAACGCTATGAAATCAGTCATTTAGCAAAATAGTGCAAAAGGCTCAAATTGAAAATAATGTATAATAATACACACCACAACCAAATAACTTCTGATTATTAGTCATGGTAATATTGAAACATCCGTTCATCAAATGACTCCAATATGACGCTGGTCAATTCCATTCAGATATATCAATACGTTGATAAGTATTAAGCTGTTTTAAACAGTACCGAAAAATTTGTTGGAGGATTTCATCATGAGCTGAAATCAGCTAGAGAACCATCGGAAAACCTGAGAGTACTGAACATCTGTCTCGTCCTAGTTTTGGACTCTTCATCAGTACAGACCCGCCGGGGTCTGACCCAGGACCTACTAATAACAACGCGAGCTCGTAGACCATTAAGCCACTGGGACCCGATCCGATGGCCAGCTCATGAATTCTAACTTCTACGAATTCACCATGAAATCCTCCATCCAATCAAAGAAAAAAACCCATACTTGAAAATTACCGACAATATTAATAAATCAGGATTTCATGAATTCATCAAATTTCGGAAGAATTCCTGTGAGAACTAAATGAGGAGATATGTGACTAGTAAATAAACTTAAGTGAATCAATCATAGGAAAAAAAGGTGGAAATTTTAACAAATTTGAATCCAGATAGGCAGAGGATGGGAAGTGTATGAGAGATAGAAAATTACGACTATAATGGATTACCGTCCATTCACGTCACTATAATAAACAGTTTGAAAATGTCAGGAATTGCAAAAATGAATAATGATCGTTAATTGTAACAATACCCCCAGAGATAACAGTAGATAGAATAGTAATGATAGCAGTTATCCAAGTAAAAGATATTTTCATGACAGACTTTGTGAAGTCATTGAAGTGACGTAACTAAGTTTTCAACCTCTCCACCTTTTCTCTTCTTTGTCTGTCTGAATTTCACCTGTAGAAACATTTTCATCTTTTGTTTTGTGATTAATTCAGTGTAGTTTATTTATTAGTCACGTTCTACCAAAATTTAATGAATTCATTAAGCTCCACCTTATGAACATCGGTTTGCCTGTTTTTATATAGTTTTGTAGAAAATAGAAGCATCCATGGTATTGTATTTAATGGAAGGTTGGCATCCATATGTGTTTATTGTTTGTTTTTTTATTTCTAAGATCTAAGGGACATCGACTTTATTTAAAATTGTCCACTAGGATATTAAGCCGTAAGGTAGTAACCAAAGAATAGCGCGCTCGAAGTCTTCCTTATTTGACACTCTGTTTGCATGTAAATTTGTAAATGCAATTTAGATTAACATGTACAGTTTATTTGTTATTATTAGATGGTTGAAGGCAGTTGACAGGAAGCCTTGGACCTAGGTTTCGTGCTTTTTATAGTAATGTCTCTGACTATAGACATGTATGTCATGGGTTCGAATCTCAGAAGGAATATGAGTTCCTTCAAGTTTGGAGATACGCCTTGTTGGCTTGTAACTGCCAACAAGGTCCAAGGCTTCTTGCGGCCGATTGCCTCCAATCATCTGACAACAACAATTCAAAGTGCACCTTGATGGCGAGCCATCTAGTATGGTGGCCACATTGCAAACTTGACTGATAGAATTCAATCTACCCCAAACAATTCACTAGACGCATAACCCTAGTTACTTAGAACCTAGTGCTTAATCAATGTCCAGGCTGTTTATTACACTTGTTTTGATTTAGTAGGTAATGCATACTGTAGCAGTAAATAATTCCTTATATATTTAGCCTAGTGCTTCTATCATTCAACATTAGGTGATGAAGTTCACAGTTTAAGTCGACTGGTTAAGTTGAAGTTTAGTGATCAGGTATCCTAACCATTTGCTAACTAGGTACGCATCCCTGCTCAGCAGTACCAGTTCCAAAAATTATATATATATATATATATATATATATAATATTTTACACTATCGAATTGTTGTTCTGATTTGGCTTATTATAATTGTAAATTGGTTTACGTAGAACAAGTCGGAGGATATATATGCGTGGTGTCATCATATGATTGTGTCGTATGAACTATTCAGTATCCTTCGTCACTTAAAATAGAGTCAAAATGAAGTCC